ACATGGTTGTGAAAAGTAAACCTCCTCACATGATTTTTTAGATGTTGGAACTGATACAACTATGCACATTTATTTGTAGGAGCAAATCCTTCTGTTATAGTGACACTGCCTGTAAGTAAGTAAAAATTCAAGTTGTGTATGCCTGACTGGTTTGTTGCTTTCCAAGGACAGACCTCTCATTGCACAGGGTATCTGGTATCCAGAGCAGTACGTTCACAAACAGTACGTTCACAGTTCACAAACTGGTGTTAGCAGGCTTTCAGCAGTAACATCAGAGATGTCCCTGAGGCAGCAAGACGTACAGCTGATGAAGCTTTCCCACAAGCACAGCCGAGCTAGCTGAGGAAGGCCTGCTGTCGGCACTGAGCTGTTGCAGCCAGCACCACCTGTTGGTGCTTCTAGTTATTCCGTCAGACATGAATGCCAGCTCATGCTACAACTGGCGGAGAAGAGCACCCTCTGCACACCGCTGTTACTCCCAGTAACATTTTGCTAGGAATGCTTTGGTTTGCTTTGCATTGAGTCAGATGCGATCCTAAGTGCCTTTTCCTCTGTGCCCTTGCTCAGCGCAATCCAACAGCTGTGTGTGTGACAAAGATGCACCGTGCGAGGAGGGCGGCATCCAGGTCTGTGCTGCCGTGAGCGACTTCACTGCCCGCCAGACCATGACAGAGTGTGAGGCCGGACGGCTCCAGTGCCAGGGGCAGACTGTCACCCTCATCAGCATCAGGCCCTGTGATGCGCAGACCAAATGAGATGCGTTACGGTTCATTTTGTTTATTGCCACGGGATGTGTCAAAATGTGTCAACTCTTGGGCAGGACATACTTCAAACCATGCTCTATCAAATACAAGCTGTGCTGTGAAGCCCACTGCAGCCTACGGGGCTGTGTGCATTGGCTCTGGTCGCACTGACTGGGGCCCTTCGTTAGGCAGAGCTGCACTCTCTGCTGAACCAAAGGCTGTTGGCTTATGCTTCTGACTTAGCACTGGCAAGCTTTGTTTGCATTTCTGTCACAATTAAAAGGTGTTCCTGAACTGCAATTGCCAAAGCGGTGATGGATTACAGTATATAGCATTGCAAATGTATTTTTCTGAGAGCAGCACAACCATATACATGTGTTGACTACAGCTTCCTAGAAAAAGAATAGCCTTTACAAAATAAGACATACAATTCTTAACTTTTGATAGACTAACCTCTTCCTGCTGTGCCTCATTCAGCTGTGCAAACAGCATCTACAGCATTGAACCTGTTGCTGAGCCTGAAGCTTTTAAAAGTCTAAACAAGATGTATTAACAGCAAAGTCAGGTTTAAATAATAAGAATGTCTTTGCTCAGTTTCTTGTACACAGAAGCACTTCAAGAAGAATCACCGTTTTGCACTGTTGTAGCTATCACCATGAGCTACATTTCTGAGTGCAGCTAACTGCATTACATTTGTCACATATATTTATGCTTGTGCCCATACTTGTTTGCTCAAAGACCATTGCGTGTGGAAGTCTTCTACCACAGCACATCTTTCTCATGGGAGCTATTAGGGAAAATACATTCTCGTGGGCATGGAGAGAGCATACAATCCCTTGGAGACGACCTTGGAAGAAAGACAGTTACTAAATGCAAGGAGTCTCTCATACTCCTTCCATATACTTGTCATCAGGCAGGGACACCTTTGCTCGCTAAGGTTGAATCTTGCAAGTCAGCTGAGGTGCCTCTCTCAACCATCCTTTCAAACAATGCCTGTAATGACATGAGAGGTGGGCAGTAAGCAGCAGGACGAGTGATCAAGAGAGTGCAGCGCTATCAGCAAGAAGCTAGTGTGCTTTATAAATATCAGATGTTGTTTCTTAGTATCAATAAATGCCTACCAGAATATACATCTCCCTTGGTTTTCATGTTTGTATCTGCGATTTACCTAACTCTTGTAGGCCCTACTCTCAGCTGAAAATGCTTTGCTTTCTGTGGCGCTGGAAATGAGGATTAAGCCTGGATCATGATTGTTATTTTAATTACTCTTTCTGTGGGCTGCTTCTTTTTTAGAAATTTGTAAATTTTTGCAGACAGTTTACAGATTAAAATAAGAAGAATAAAGGCCAAATTAATCAGTTATTTGCTCTGAATTATCTGCTGAATATGAAGGAACAGCATATTTGGGGAATTTCTGAGTGTTTGACCCATGTTTATTCCCGCTTTCTAACACAGCATTTCTAATCTTTTTCTTGGGGGCACAACACAAGCTTTGACAATGAGCCCATTGGGTATTGTTAGTCTTCATAACCGCTGGAAGCAAGAGAAAATCAACCGGAAATTTTCTCATAGAAAATGCGAAATGAAGAGTGACTTTTTAATTTGTGTCTTCAGAAAGGAAAATGTAGAAAACCAGTAGAGATCATCAAGAAACTCTGAGGTTTTCTGATTAAGAAACAGAAAAAAAACTAAATTGCCTGTTATTCACCTTTAGATATCAATAGGAACAGATCCCCATGTCCATAAAATAAATTAGTCTGATTTAAGAGAAACAAAATATTAATGAAGATTGCATTTCAAATACTTTATCCAGTCCCTTATATCTCATTGTTCATCTTACACATTGAAATCTCTGCAGGGCTCCTGTGTTCTTCCTCTTTCTTTCTAGTGGTGTATTCCATCATTCCTGCTCTCCAACCCAGCCAGGTCCTGCCTTTTAGATGCCTTGTGGACCCTTTCCCTCTCTCCCTCTCAGCTGCCTGCATGCAGGTTTTCAGCAAAGCTCTGTGTCGCATCACTGATGCCATGACATCACAGTCCTTTCCCTGCTTGAATTGTCATCTGCTGTTTTCAGCCTCATATTTGCCTGGGTCAGAATGTACTTCATCTGTCCTGAAAATCTGGGGACATCTTATGTCATTTTAGAAAAGATATTAAGCCTTCCCAAAAGCAGAATGAAACAGCAAAAAAATCCAGCTGAATGCCTAACATTGGAGGGTAGGAGGTGGTATTATGAGTAGGTAGAAGTCTTTTTCAAAGTGGTAGGACTATTTAATAAATCCTTTGGACGCCAACAGAGCATGAGAGAGAGCCATTTGTCAGTGGGAAAATTTGGGAGCAATATCTACAGAATAGTTGGAGATTTTTTTATTTTTTATTTATTTATTTATTTATTTCTCAATTATTTTTCTCTACCAGATTTTATGGCAGCTCATCAATAACAACCTTTTCTGAGAAGCCCAAATCCCCCAAAGTCACAAAGTTGGCTTCAGGCTGTGTGTACCTACTCTCCCTGCTCTTTAAGCTGTCTAGACAGAAGGCAGGCTGATCTGGGGACGATACAGCTGTGCCAGAGTAATATAGTGGCTAAGCTAGTAAATTCTGGGGAGATCAGAGTGGATTAACTTAAGAACAGGGCAATGCTTTGAGACTTAAGCCAGCATTCAGGAGGAAAAGAAGAGGCACAAATACAGAGCCAAAGCTGACAGTGACAGCCACATCTGTACCCAGCAACAACTGCTTGCTCGTTGTACTCATGATGCTGCTGCACTCAAGATGTATCTCAATATTCACAGGTTTTGACCATTTTAGAAATAGCAAATATCACAAGACTAAAAGACAAGCAGAAATCATGCCACTGAGTTCTTACTCACAGGGGCAAGGGCAGTGAAGACTTAAGTAAAGTTGTGCTGTCATGCGTGCCCACACAGACAGACTAGTTGCAGCCTGAACAGGGACTGCAGTAGCTGTGTTAGACAGGTAATGGGAGAAGATGATGTGCCAAAGCACTTCTAGTCCCTCCAGTAAGCGTGTTTATACATATGTATGAAGACACATACCTGCACGCACCAAGCTAATAAGGAATGCTTTTTTTCTTGGCACAGCTCTGCACATCCTGTCAGCCAAGAAAAAATGTAACTTTTACAGGAAAACCCAGGGCTGTTCTCAACCTGTTACACAGTAAATAACAGCATTGCACAATGAATGTTGATGCAGCAACTCACAGAGGAGTTTCACAGACAAAACAAACAAGTAGCCAGAGATAATAATGAAATAAACTGGGATTTCACATCTATTTATGCAGAAATTATACCCAAGAAAAATAAATACTAGATGATTATCATAAGTCATCTTATGCCACTACATGCTGTACTTCGCAAACTTAAGAGAAGTTGAAGGAATACATAAAGCAAAACTTTCCCAATCTCACTGAGAGATCCCACATGAAGGCTGTTAGATTTTGTTTATACTTCAAACTTGGAACATTCCTCTGTCCCTGAACACTGGCTCTTTGGACTTTTGTCTGTCCCTAATTCATGACAAAAAGTTTCAAAACAGATATGAGCATTCACCAAGTCTAGGAATTCCTGGGAAAGATGAAATAGCCCATGTTTATACCAGAAAGTAAAACAGATCAGATGTTTTACATTTACATTTACATTTACATTGCCCAGAGGCAATGGGGCTGGTGTTAGTTCACATCCAGCCAGCTAACCTCCTACCACAGGAAGAGCTATCCTGCTGGAAACAGCCCTCGGTCTGTGTGGGTTATTGCATTGGACCCAAATGCATTTCAGGGGAGGACTGGCTAGCACAGACCAAAACCATATTGAATAATTCAACAGGAAGAATAATCATGCACCCTTTCCTCAATCCTGTGCTCTAATGGTGTTTAGTCAGACACAAACAGAATACTTGACAGAGGACAGAAACATGCTCAGTCATCTGCAGTGTCACAGTGATCCAACTCTGTCTGCTGCTTCTGAGGACATGGGAATAAAGGCGCTCCACTCACAATAACCTGAACTTAGATGAGCAATGAAATCTGAAGTGCAACTGCTTAACAAAGTAATAGTTCAGAAATATTTCCAGAAAAATAACCTTCGCTAAGGATCAATTCAGAAGTGCCACTTACAAGGTCATTTTTTAATTTTGAGAGGGTCACTGCTAATGAATCCAAATACATCAAATTAAGCTTTGAAAATATCAGACTAAACCAACGCATTTGAAAGTTAAACCTATCACATTTAGAAGGTGTCATATCTACAGAACTGTTGTAGAAGGTATCATATCTGCAGTATTGTTTCCTTCAATCCCCACTGTAGATCTTGTCTTTTGAATAGCTCAGTGCATGTCATTTCACAATTACAGGGACCAGGACACAGAAAGTAGAATTACTGGTTGTCTAGGCGTTTTCAGCTAAATCCTGGCAAAAAGGCTTCACTCCCGTCTATTCTGAGATTTAGACAATAACACAGATATCTCCAGAACTGTCACTGTTAAAAGAGAAAAACATAAAATGAAGAGAAAAAAACCCTCAATCTCCCAACACTGACAAAAGGTGAGTTCACTTCTGCCTTCTGAAATCTAATGCATACTTGTTGAATCTGGCAGCCTCACTGCTCTGTGTCATGGTTCTTTGTCTCTGCACCTTGTACAGCCCTTGGTTGTGATTTGTTGCAGAAATATTTTTCCTGGTGCACTGCCCTGGTGAACCAATTCCATCATTCTGGTTAATTTTCAGTAATGCAGTCTAGCATTAACTGGCTCACATTTGGTTCAGAAATAATGTCACTGCCTGCAAGTGTGGTTCACATCTAATGAACATTTTAATGAACATTTTATTTTGGACCAGCAGTTAGTTTCAGGGCTTTTTTTTTTTCCTTCAACATAATACAGTAATAATCTCAGGGAATGGGAGCACTTCAATTTCCCCTTGTGCTCTTATCCCAAGTCTTCAGCTGTAGTTGTGCAGATACGGTGGGATCCAACCTGTTGTTATTTTTCAAAATACAGTTATCCCTTAAGTGCAAGTGAAAGCCAGCATGGTTTCACCAGGGGAGGGTCGTGCCTAACCAGTCTGGTGACCTTCTATGATGGAGTGACAGAATTGGTGGACAAGGGAAAGGCGACCAATGTTATTTACCTGGACTTGAACAAGGCCTTTGAAATGGTCCCCCACCACATCCTTATCTCCAAATTGGAGGGATGTGGATTTGATGGGTGGACTGCTTGATGGGTAAGAAATTGGTTGAAAGGCTGCAGACAGAGGGTGGTGGTCAATGGCTCCATGTCCAGGTGGAAGCCGGTAAGCAGTGGCATCCCCCAAGGGTCTGTCTTGGGACCGGTGCTCTTTAACATCTTTATTAATGACATCGATGTAGGAATCGAGTGCACCCTCAGCAAGTTTGCTGATGACACCAAGCTGAGTGGTGCAGTTGACACGGTGGAAGGAAGGGATGCCATTCAGAGGCACCTCAACAGGCTGGAAAGGTGGGCCCAGGTGAACCTGATGAGGTTCTACACAGTATAGTGCAAGGTTTTGCACTTGAGCTGGAGGAATCCCAGGCATCCATACAGACTGGAAGGAGCAGTCCTTGAGAGCAGCCCTGCACAAAAGGGCCTGGGGATCCTGATGAATGAAAACCATAACAAGAGTAAGCAGTGTGCTCTTGCAGCTCAGAAAGCTGGGCTCCATCAGAAGAGGGGTGGCCAGTAGGGACAGGGAGGTGATTGTCCCCCTCTTCTCTGCTCTTGTGAGGCCCCATCTGCAGTGCTGTGTCCAGGTCTGGAGCCCTCCATACAAGAAAGACAGGGAGCTGTTGGAGAGGGTCCAGAGGAGGGCCATGAAGATGATCAGGGGGCTGGAGCACCTCCCCTATGAAGACAGGCTGAGGGAGCTGGTCTTGTTCAGGCTGGAGAAAAGAAGGCTGCGGGGTGACATCATTGCAGCCTTTCAGTACCTAAAGGGAGCCTGCAAACAGGAGGGGAATCAATTCTTTGAAAGGGTAGATAACTGCAGGACAAGGGGAAATGGTTTTAAGTTGAGGGAGGGAAGATTGAGGTTGGATGTCAGGTGGAAGTTCTTTACAGAGAGAGTGGTGAGGTGCTGGAACAGGCTGCCCAGAGAGGTTTTGTGGATGCCCCATCCCTGGAGGTGTTCAAGGTCAGATTGGATGGGGCCCTGGGCAACCTGGTCTACTATTAAATGTGGAGGTTGATGGCCCTGCATGTGGCAGGGGGGTTGGAGCTTGATGATGCTTGAGGTCCCTTCCAACCCTGGCCACTCTGTGATTCTGTGATTCTGTGAAAGACAGCAGTAGAAGCGATGCAGAAAACCTTATAGCTGGCTGCTCTTGTAGGTGGAGGGCATCAATGGACTCTGATGAGGTCAATCTTGTTCCTGGAGGAAAGTGGCTGGTGGCAAATTCAGTCATTCATTTCTGAACAGACTGTGCCAATAGCACCAATGCACTTACATGTTATAACTTCCATTACCCTGATTGTATTGCATCACAAATGTTAATTGTGAAAATTAGGGGGAAAAAATCAAATGTTCTTAGTCAGTTCATATTTAAATAAATAATTGCTTATTTTGCTATGCCTCTCATTTTTCTCCAGCTGAACTGGTTTCCGGGAACAGATCCTGTAATTTCTGCTGTTATTTGCAATCACCTCCCTGTGGACTGATGACCTGAAACTGCAGCTTGGCTACTTTGCAGTGTCATATCAAAAGGACTTTCTGAGGCACAAATGAACAGTGAGTAGGCTGAGCAAACTGCAATTAATTTGATTTTTTCCCTGAGTAGTTTTTAACACATATGTTGTATTGATCAGGTCTGGAAGACAGCATTTGATGGGATCAATCTGTTTATTAGGGGCATGAAATTCCTACTTGATGTCCCATTACCAGCAATCACCTGTGTATGACAGCTTTTGTACTTGATTTGTCTGAAAAGTAATATATTATTATGGGAGAAAGGCTCTGTTACCCTGAAAATTATGGGAACAACAAATTCTAAGAACAAAATGGGAGAGTCTGCTTACCTCTCTACAAAAATTTCTTGGTTTCCTTAAAGCTCATTTGTGTCCTATTAAAACTTCTTAACTATCAACTTAGGTCATAACTGGCCTCTAAGCAGAAAAAAGTAAAGGCTTCATCTAAAGTGATGTACTTTTTGGATCAAGACCAAAACACTTCCTCCTGAAAAGTGCAAGTAAAAAATGGCTGTGATTTCCAAGATTAAACAACCCAGTGCTGAAAATTAGAATGAGGATATAGATATAAAAAAACACACAGAGAGAATTTTAAAAATAGAAGTATTCATGTTATATGTATTCATAGATATTGATTAGATATCTATAGCACAAATATATTGCATTTAGCCTAACCACTTCCATCTCACTCCACATTAAACCTTTAGGGCCTAATTCGTCTGCCCTGTTTTCAGAAGTCATGCCCTCTAAGGGGGGGTTACTCCTGTCCCTTGACTGAAATGGCAGCCAAAGATCACAGAATCACAGAATCACAGAATCACAGAATCACAGAATCACAGAAACACCAAAGTTGGAAAAGACCTTCAAGATCACCCAGTCCAACCATCCACCTCTCACCAGTAGCTCTCACTAAACCATATCCCTCAACACAGCATCCAAACATTCCTTGAACGGCTCCATGGTTGGTGACTGCACCACCTCCCCGGGCAGCCCATTCCACTGCCTGACCACTCTTTCAGACAGTAGTATTTCCTAACATCCAGCCTGAATCTCCCCTGGAGCAGCTTGAAGCCATTCCCTCCAGTCCTATCATCAGTTACACGAGAGAAGAGGCCGACCCCCAGCTTACTACAGCTTCCTTCAGGCAGTTATGGAGAGCAGTAAGGTCTCCCCTGAGCCTCCTCTTCTCCAGACTGAACATTCCCAGCTCCTTCAGCTGCTCCTCATAAGCCCTGTGCTCCAGACCCCTCAGCAGTTTCGTTGCCCTTCTCTGGACACATTCCAGGGCCTCAATGTCTTTCTTGCAGTCAGGAGCCCAAAACTGGACACAGTACTTGAGGTAACTTGACACAATAATGATGATTAGCTTGGATACATATATACACCTTTAGGAGCATCTCATTCTCATAATCCAAGGAAGGAAGATCAGGTTACTCAAACCTCTCAGTGTCAGTTTGGATCTACCCATAGAGCCTGTTGTTAAATTAACAGTTAAATTTTAAGGGACAGTGTTATTTGTAGCATTTTATCCCATATGACCCCACCATCAGAGCTGAGTCAGTTCTATCATAGTTGTACTTGAAACCTCTCTTATCTGGCAATAACTACCTAAAGTGTAATGCTCAGGGCTCTCTGAGCAGAAAATGTGAAGTAATGCCTCCTCCAAATTGCATGTTGAACTGGACCTACTGTGAATACTACGTTATGCCACTGTTGGAGATTCATTACTCAGTGCCAGCAAGGAAGCACTGGGATAACAGTGAACTCTGCAGAAGCCCAGAGGGAACAATTGCTTGTTGCTACCTCTATCATTCTGTGCAAACACTTAACTTTGTATACACGTGTATTTTGCATATGTGTTAAGTAGTGACTGTCTTATTTTGCACCAACTCTTCTGAGTTACTTAACTCTACGTAACAGTTGAAGACAGCATATTCAGTACAAGATGTTTTCTCTCACTGAAGGAGAAATAGTAACTGAAATAATTACATAATGACCACTGTGAAAAGTTTGCCTGTCTACTACCCAAGCCAGTACCCACCCAATTTTTAACTTCATTGAAGCAAATTCTGAATTGTCCCTTTCTGAAGATACATAAGGGCACAACTTGAATATATATATTTAGTTCTTTTCTATATTTAGTCAAATTTTACTTTACAGTTGCAAGCCCATACAAAAGCCCAGAACAGCAGCTGCTAATTATCCAGCTATCAAATCAAACCTCAACTGCTGTGTGTGTTCTACATACACTCAACATACAGTTGTGGTAGAGAAAAATTAAACATGGAATATTATGTGGAAGTTTTTGTATGGTGGAAATGCTCACTGTATTCATTTTGAGTAATGTCTCTGCTCTGACGTTAAGAATGAATAGATGATATTTTTTTCTGCGCAGTGGAGAAGCTGCATTACTGAGGCGGCTGTCCTTTGAGAACTGGTAAGCTCCTTGTGACTCTAGTTACCCTGACAGATTCAGTTAAGGTGTTGCTTCATTTTTCCCAATTATAATTTATGACCCAAGGCAGTGATCCATCAAACTAGATAATGTTACTTGGAGCTTACAGTGGCAAAGAGCAGACAGTTCCTGCCAACAGTGAACAGGAAATCTCTATCATTATCTAATATATATTATCACAATAGAAGAGAAGTTACTCTAAGAAAAATATGAATGTTACAGGAAACATCCAAAAGCTGCAGTCTTTGATGTGAAGATTATGGACCTTATAGCAAAGCGTAGCAATGAATTTTAAGTCATTGCAAGTGCCATCTTCATCCTAATGAAACCAACAGCAGAACACCCACTAATTTCAGCAAACTGAAACATTCCTCTGGATTCAGGTTATGGCTAAATCACCACCTTACTAGTGAGTGGCACATGATGTCTCCATTCTGTGTCATAATACTAAACTCTAAAACTGAAACTATGGGTGTTGTCCCCATCAGCAAGAGAGAACACAAGTCTCAATGTGAATGCTTGCAACCACTCACACTACTGATGTGAGAGAAATGGGGGCAGTCAGGTAGCTATGGTTTCCTTTTGTTTATCAGAAAAATAACTTAATCTTGCAATTTGTTATGATGAAAAGCATTAAGGAAAAAATTTCCTCCCATCACAACAAACACTGCCAGACTGTCATGCTGGAATCAGAATCTGATAATGAAAAGCCAGTATTGAAGTTAGAGGGCCAGAAGCGAGATATCTTCAGTGCTTGTTGAGGGTGAGAAGGCACACACACCATTCTGAGTGATTACTCACATGCAAAATGTGAACAGCAGTCAGAAATGAGGGTGAAAAACAGAAGCCAGGGACAATGAAATTTGCAACACTCCCCTGCACCATTGCCAGCATATCAGTATAAAACTTTGGTTGGACAAAAGAAAAATAGAAGTACAAGGGCAAAACTATTTTTTAATTAAAATCATTTTGACTACATTTTAATCAAGAAAATGTAATGCTTCATGCATTTAGCTGAACAATTCATTGTTTCTTTTCCTTGAACTCCATCCAGTTCATAGTAACTGCTGTTGATTTATGGAAACTGGCAGCATCTCAAATATGTAGGTTACGAGACCTTGGAGGGGAAATAATCATTTCATGTACAGCCCTTGCCCTACTCCTACATGACTCTAACCATCTCCTGGCCAGTTATGACAGTTATACCTTGGACATGCCGTTCACAGATGGACACTTTTTTGGATGTCTCTCCCCTGCCACCCCCTGATTTTCATTGTTTGTCTCACTGCTAGTGGAGGAAAGGAACTGTCAACTTTCCCTTGCTTGGAAGGCAAGTTGCTAATCCTCCACCTTGTAAAATCCCAAGCCTGAGGATCAAAACGAACAAACAAAACCAGAAAGCAGACTCTTCTCCCTTCAGTGACACTGATTAAAAAAACTCATGGTTTTGAAAGCTTCGCTGAACCACTCTATATTTGTAGTTTTCAGTATTTTGTATTGCTCCTTGAATTTGCATAGTGAGTGCCGGTACGAGTAGACTCATTTGTAACTCTGTTATGTGTCAGAAGAAATATGAAGATTTTCCCCTCAATGTAAGAAGTACATGGAGCTGTTGGAGCAGGTCCAGAGGAGGGCCAAGAGCACCCCCTCTACGAGGACAGGCAGGGAGCCTTGGGGCTCTTCAGCCTGGAGAAGTGAAGGCTCCAAGGAGACATTATAGCAGCTGTCCAGTACCAGAAGGGGGCCTCCAGGAAAGCTGGGGAGGGACTTTTTATAAGGGCATACAGCAACAGGATGAGGGGAAATGTTTTTAAACTGGAAGAGAGAAGATTTTGACTAGATATTAGGAAGATATTCTTTACTATGATGATGGTGAGACACTGGAACAGGTCATCCAGAGAGACTGTGGATGTCCCCTCCCCAGAAGCATTCAAGACTGGATGGGGCTGTGAGCAAATTGGTCTAGAGGGAGGTGTGCCTGCCTATAGCAGGGTGTTGGAACTAGATGATCTTCTAAACCAAGCCATTCTATGATTAATTCTATGATTCTATGTTGAAGTGCCCTGTCTGTCCAGTGGGCTCTCAGCCACTCAGACAACCAGGACGCAGAGCAGTTACCAGAGAAGAGACAGAGCAACAAATGGTTGTGGAAAGGAAGAGTCTTGTCCAACACCAGAGAGACCAGAGGCAGAGCTCTCCTTTCTTTTTTCCTATTTTCTCCCTTCCCTCCCTCTGTCCATGCAGAATTACTGACAACAATAGCAGTCCTCATACCCTACATTCAAGTCATTTTCAAACTGAAATAAAAATCCCATTGCCACTCTTCTTTCATTAAATTAGCTCATTTTAAAAATTATTATTATTGCATCCTTCTTGAGTTCATTTGTCCTTTTATAACCAGTTGAGTTTTCCCTATGGTGGTTTACCCCATTGTGGTGGGATGACAGTGGTGGGGGCCACTGGGAGAGCCATTGATTTATCCCAGGCAGCTCCCCTCCTCCAGCACCTCCAGTCTGATGCCAGCACACTTCATGGCTGCCAGCACACAGTGACTGACTGTCTTCCTTCTCCCTGTTGACTCCATTCGGATGCAGTGAAGCTGGCTCTCTTCTCTGGGGCACTGGTAAGGCATTAGGCAGGAGCACTGCATCTGTGATTCTGGCAAAGAATGTGTTGGAGTTTTAGCTGCAAATTTTATGAATAAAAACGTGTTATTACCTTATAGTTTGACAACCTTTCAAAAGCCAATAGGGAAAAAAGCTATTGCAGGTTCATGATACCTTACAGTATACTTAAGGTACATGGTATCTTATGGTCAGAAATCTTAGTGCACGCACTAGGCAGCAGGACATTGGGAAGCAGAGACAATAGAAGCTTTATGTATCAGTTTTTGCAACACTGACTACAGCAGCAGAAATGAAGTATCTAACTATTTTTATTCACTAATTTACCTTGACCTTTCTTCTAAACAGAAATATATTAAGCTGACTTTCTGTTTGCAATTATCTTTGCACACAATGTTGCTGTGAAATGGAGTCTGAAGGTCTGTATTGTGCCAGCTCCTATTTCATTAGAGCTCCCTTTATGAATGCTAAACTACCTGCCTGCTGGCCTGTGGTAAAACTCAGTCCTGCCGGTTATTTCATTACCTATTTCTGATCTAATCAGATTCTGACTCTTTACATTCTTTCCCAGAAATTCCCTGGGCAGGAAACTAAATTCCTGCCTCCCCTTTCTTAAAACAAATGAAAAACATGCATTTTACTCAGTTCAGCTTCTTTCGCATGGTACTTCTGTATCTTCTGCCTCTGTGTTGATACAATCATGATACAGTAGTTGATATAACTACTAATTAACTTCCATTTCCTAATTGTGCATACTCATGGGCAAGAATATTGGTGAGGAATTTTTTCCAGTTAAAACCTCTTGAGTACCACAATGAAAATTTAATGTCCTTTTCTCCCAAGGACTCTTGCTTACTGCACAGGGCTCCTCTGTGGGTCTCTGAGATAAAAACACTGAGATGATGGCACTGAATCCAGTCTTAATCCAGTTTCATGGTGGGAACAGAGCTAGGCTTCTTAGGGGCTCTGGAATAAATAAGCTAAGTGTTTTTTGATATCATAGTCATCTACAGAGGAGCCCACCCTGCCGTGCCCCCTGAAGGGCACACCTGATCCTAGTCAGTGCTTCAGCCCCATTTGAAGCAATACCTTGTGCAGTAGCTTTAAGCCACATCCTTCAAATCTGTGCTGTATAAATCATCTTGCAAAACAAAGGTTTTAAGATTGCTTCACATTGCTGTTTCTTTTTTTTTTTCCCACAAGCAGAGGAAGTGTGATTGGATCATATTTGTCTCTGGAAGCAAGCGGAGGAATGAGTGTGGCTGCCACTCAGCCTTCTCCTGGCAGGCGTATGATGTGCATGAAGCAATCCAATACCTCAGACATTTACAGGAAATCCTACTGCTGTTATCACAGAGTTACAAAGTAAATAGCCAAGTTGCACAACAGTGTTTATAAAATAATCCTCTTAGGGATTTCACCAAACAGCTTAGCTAGTTCATTAAAACTCTTAATAAGCACAGCTTTCACATAGAGGTATTTGCACATTTTACCATTAAAATCCCATTAAGACTGATGGCCCCTGTCTTGCTAAGTAGTTTTATGATTAGTTTCATAATTTAATTATATGCTATAGAAGGTGTGTCCCAGATTTACTCCTGAAGTACAAGCAGGTGGTTACAGTAGACTTACAGGGAATAGGTGATAACATTTCTGGCTGCATCTCTGTAATTAAAGATACAAATATTAATTCTCCCTAAGCAGTTCCCTTAATCTTCAAATTTCTTTTATCCCTTACTAATGGGAAGTGGCCATACCACTTTTGCCTGAGAGAAGACACATATCTGAATGTAACACATGTTAGTAGGGATGCAGCACTGAACCCACTTCCACATTCCTCTGACCATAACTTGCTGAAGTGGGCCACAATGCCTGTAAATCCCATTCTTACACAGTGAAGGACCCAGCACATTTTAATTTCAGTGCCTGTGGACAGGGATAAATTCAGAAGCCATACCTGGACATTCCTCCCAGTCATAGCAGGTGTCATAGCCACAGGGCACTTTCTTCAAGCTTTCTGCAGAGAGCTTTGCCCTTTCAATAGCCCAATGTAAGTTGGAATTGCTGTGGCAAGGGCCAGCATGCAAAAAGTGAAATGACTGCTCTCCAAGGCACTTTTCAGCTGAAAACTGACAGCTGGGTTTCGTCACATGCTGTTCAGAAAGAGCATGTAGCACACAGATGTCTTCTGAGTAGTGGCTGCCCCAAGGAAGAAGAATAATTATTTTAACAGACTGTGATGCAAGTCCATACTTTAAAAACTCCAACAACGTAAAATAAAAAACAGCAAGTCCATGACAGGCTAGATATCTGTCTAAAGACCTAAGGCTGTCATAGCTATTGAAGTGTCTGGTCCTTGAGAAGGCCCAAGTACAGCATAGTGCTGTGAGCTGAAGAAGCTTTGGTCCCAGCCACAAGATACAAAGCCAAGGATGTGCTTGGGAAAGGAAACAGGAGGTACTGTTATCTCCACAAGGCACAGGGCACTTCCAATGACCCTATGTTAACCTGGTTCATACTCAAGCCATATTCATCTTTCTAATTTTCAGCCCTACACCACACCTCTAACCTGTCCAGCCATTTACTAAAAATTCTCTGGGATAATTCTTTATTCATTGGAAGGCTCAAAGGTCTGTGCAGGTTGTGTTCTGCTAAGAGACAGTAAGTCCAAGTCTTACATATTTTCTTATGCTCTCAATATTGAAATATATGGTGTACTTTGCACCATGTTCACCTGGACGTCAAGCACAAATAGTATGGCACATTAAGGTAAGGTGATGACTATGAAAGTGTAGAAGTTGAAGGAAAAAGGAAGGAAGAAGAGTTGGGATGTCCAGTAGCAGATGACAATGGCACGAGATTAGAAAGACTCTGGTGTGCCATGTAGTTAATTTTCATTTTATTTCATTGACTGTGAAGAGGGCTGCATTCTACATGCAGGGCCATAACAGGTTAGAGACCAGGAATCTTCAGATTGCTGTGTTTTGTTACTCTTTATTTTGTCTTCACAATGGACTTTCCGTCTGCCATTGGGGAAACTGTGACTTTTCTTTTTCAAATGGAGCTTTAACTTACTTACCCACAGTCCTCTTCTGGATTCATGCAAACACACTCAGACCCAACCTGTTTTTGTCCTGGATTGCAAAATCCTCTGATCTTAGTTTGCTCATCTGAAACAAGAGTGAGAGTTCTTGTAACTGGAAACATAATTAGCAGAAATTACTTAGACTTCTACTGCCAGGACTAAATTGTATTTATTTCCATTTATCCTGCACCTCTTCATCAGGTGCAATGACTGGCTTTCCACAGGTATGGGTACGTCTTCGCAAGAATCACTGGAAAAACTTGCATACAAAGTTTCAAAAGAATGAGTTATCCTGCTGAATTTCATTAAGCATTGCTAGTACAGCTTTCTCCCCCCAAGATTACAGTTTCAGTATTGCAATTTCATGATCAAAATGCGAAATATGTTGCACTCAAAAATTCTGATAATAAATATGATTCTAATAATTTAATGAACAGTTGCAATGCATTTGAAAACTAGTAAGCCACATTCTAGCTCTATCTAGTTATAATAAAACCATGCTGAGGATACCAGGGCTACAGGAATAATAATGCACCTGAATAGATACTAACCTTTTTCACATGTAATAGACCTCAGAATAGAAGGAAACCAGGACAGGTCTTTTCCACAAGTATATTGTGTTTGACCAGTGACTACAAACCCAGCTCGACAGCTTAGCTTCACAGTTTCACCAATGATGTAGTGTTGCTTAAATGGGGAAATTTCAACACTGTCAGATGTTGGTGGCCTCAGGCATAATGAGGCTGTATTAAAAAAGAAAAGAATATAATTCTAGCTGTTTTAGGGATATTTATAGCAAGACATAATGCTTCAGGTGAAGAGCCGTTAAGGCACACACAGTAACACCAAACACTTGATTGACATTCAAAAATAATATTTGTCATAATTAAGTCTAGATATTTTCAATGCATGTCAATGCTTTTTATAAAAGTAATTTTTGATCAATAACTAAATAACTACAATCCATTACTAATGTATGCTAGTAAGAGTAATTTAATTTCGGTTTGATAAATACAAATGGTATTTACAGAATATTTTAATCTTGCTTTTGTAAAAGAAGCTATTGACAAAGCAATTAAAATTAATGGCGTTGAAGAACTTGTGAGTATAATCGGACTTTTTTTTTAATAAAATGAATAGTAAGTCAATAAAATTACACTGAGTTTTAACAAGCTATTGGAAACTCTCCTGTTAGCAAGACCAGGCCAGTTCTCACCTATAGCTGTTGAAAAGACTTGTCCGTAAGCAGTTTGAGGCATTCATTTCTTATGGGGATTTTAGAGACATAATTAATTTAATACAAAAAATGGTAGTCAGATTCCTCCAAGAACACTTTGTTCAGCTTAATTGTCAAAGATTGTTACTATAAATCTGAGTATAAGAGATGAGTACTTGCTTCTCTCAGAGATATTTAAAACTAGGAGAAAGGCCTCATAAAACTGAGTGTTTTCTAAAACATTTAACATCGCAATATTCTTACAAAGCACACAGCAGCAACACTTTGAAGTTCAAAGAGGAACAGTGTAATGACTCAGTAGGTTTTTGTCATGCCTAGTGTGAATGCTTTAAGTACCTTATTAAAATGCTGTCTTTTCAGATATCATTACAGATTTATTTGTTAAAACCTGTATTATAGTCTATTTTGTGTATTTTTCCATGACTTGTTTTGTTGCTGAACAAAACTAGTTCTTTCTTACGTTGGCATTCAATAGGTTGTTGTGTCCAAGTTTGATCAGGCAAACATCGGAGGAACTGATAGCCACTGAGAACATGACCGCTCACACAGGCAATTTCAGCTTCTTCTCCCACTGCATACTGGTTCTTTTCATTCTGCCAAAATAAAGCCCCCAAAGGTAAAAAGACTATAAAAAAATCTTGAATGAAAATAGACACTGTCAAACAAATCAGTGCTTAAAGTCCTGCAGCAAATGCTTTTCCTTTTCTGAAACAAGAATCGTCCAGTCACCTACAGAATATTTGTCCAGCCATACTAAATAAAGCCATGGTTACAAAATATTCAAAGATCAGTTCAGGATAGGTTTCACTTTGCCTTTAATTCACTTGCTTGTAAATGCTGGTGAACTGGAGTCCCATAACATACTATACACAGCAACATTGTCACTAGCACACTTATTAGCTTAGGTATCAATCTAGCAAAGAGACTGTAACTAGTATGTTTTCCTTCCGTCTCAATCATTTTTCATGCTCACCCTTATAAACCCATTTTCTGGTGGGTCTGGCCTGGAGCATCCGGTCTCAAGCTCACCAATCACAATATCCACTTCTTTTTTTGCTTCATCATCATTAATACAAGGAGCTCCTCTGAAAAGTAAAAATTGCTGGTAAGGATTCATCTTAAGCGGCTGTCAAAAAACAACAGCGTAATGTCAGAAGTTTTGGTCGGATATGCTTGGAGTATTTTCCTCAAAAAAAAAAAAAAAAGTGGTAAGAAGACAGTTTGGTTAGGTTTATGAGTAACAATGTTGTGATACAGTAGGTTTTTGCCATGTCTAGTGTGAACACTTAAAATACCCCCTTAAAATGTTTATATGGTCATAACCCAATCATTGCTATCAGTCAGTGGTTACAGGAGGCTTGTTTTCTATCAGTGTGGAGCTGTAAAGCCTAGTCTCTGAGGTAAGTAACAAAGAACCACATGGTCCATTGCTTTTCATCCTCTCTCTCCTATTGCTCCATAATCTCCTCTGCTGTCATTACACCAAGGATAATGAAAATACTGGCTCATCTGTTTCTGCATGTGATTCTCAGCAGAAAAGTTGAACCTGTTCAAAATCTTATTCTTAAAGATGCAAGAAACTGAGCCTCTTTTGAGGCTGGAATTATGATTTCAAGATGAAACCATGCAAAACTTGTACATTAGATGAAATCCAAGCAGGAATATGAAAAGCTTGTTAATTTCAGAGAAATTTTCTCCAAGGCAATGAGCTCAGACTTAAACCTTTAAGAGGATGTGAAATAAAAAATAAAGAAACTGCCAGCTCCTGTGAGTGTAAGAAGATGACTTCTCCATAGCTCTGGCCAGGAAGCCATAAAGAAGTTTAAGAGATCTACAGACATACTTTAGGATGTAAATAATCAGCCATTTTCTGGAATAAACAATGAGTAAATCTCAACCTGAAGCAAGTTACAAAAATTTTCAAATATTTCCTTTTCTCAGCCCGTACCACGTAAGTTCAGAAACGGGAGCTGTTTGTCACTTCTCCTTGGTCCCAAAGCCACTCTGGAGGGCTCTGTAACTCTGCCTTATGACTGAAGAGTCTTTTGATCAACCATCTTCTTACTTGTCCATGAACACAGAGACGTAACAGTCCTCCTCTTCTTCCCGTTCACCCTTGCAAGGTTTTCCACCGTTTATTGGGGATGGGTTATTACATTCCCTGGTCCTTCTTCTCTTGAAAGAAGCATCACATGAGCTCCATTCAGACCAGCAACCCCAGCGACCATCTACAGCAACTGCAAGAAGTAAAAGAGAGCCCGATTTTTTTCAAAAAATATCAAATATAGAACTTCTTAATCAACATATTAGAGAGATGATGGTAAATTCATAGTAGCCATTTTCAGAGGATTTGAAATTGTTAATGTTAACAGAGTAGATTATGTTGAGAATGTGAGGTTTTCCAAAGAGATAGGCAAATTTCAGATTGCTTCAGGAGAGGCCTTTCTTTCCAGTTTTCTTTGCAGGTCACGTTTAAATCCAGAAGCAGTATTCTACTTCATGCACAGATGTTTTTATTTTCATGGTACTGACAACTACCTCAGATAACTCATAAAAGGGTAAGCTATCAAATTAAATATGAACTCTAAAACTAAGTCTAAACACCAAATCTACTTCCCACACAAACTGAATTAAAATATCACTGTCTTTTCTCACCCACCAGGCTATTTGCCTGTGCCACCACAAAGCATTACATAAGAATTATTATTTACACACCATTTCTGTTCTTCGTGACATACATTATCCACATCCATATCTTTATTTGCATATCTTATATTGTTTCTTTTTGAAGCACGCAGTTGTTGAGATACTTTTTCTTTTAACAAAAGCAACATAATAATACATTAATTCTATTTTCTACATGAATGCCAAATTCTTTTGAAAAAATTTCTTTTGTGTGAAATAATTTTTTTCAGAATTATGACTTGGTTCCCTATCCTTAAGACATTTCAAATAGATTTTTCCTTCTACACTATAATTAACAACTTTTATATCCCTTAGATATTTTATCTTAAGCAAAGTAGGCCATAAGGAAACTAAGAAATGGATTTCCTAGTTTTTGCATCAAGTATCTTTGGTCCTAATTTCATTCTATTTGCTAAACAACTTATTTCATACTCTCATTAGTGTAGCTTAGGGATTTTTTTATCACATCTTTTAATTTCTTTTAAATGCTATGCTTACTCTGTATTATTTTCTATTAGTAGTTGCCCCTTTATTTTAATACCTTCTGATCACCACAATGGGGTAAGAAGTTGCATGAATTTTGGAAGGGAAGATTACATCATATTTGTCTTTGACTAGATTGACAGGATTCTTAGGTAAAAGTTATGATATGAATTGATGATATCAATTTTTTATTATCAATTGATGATATCAAGGTTTTGTTTTGTTTTGTTTAAAAATAACTGGTAAGGATGTAAAAGTTTGACAACATTGACTCTGGACCTGGACCAGAGTTCAGCTGTGGACAGCCCTTCCCCACCCACATGGCTGATGCTTCCTTGGCCAAAGACTTTGTGAGGTCTTAGTGGGAAAGCATACAATCTACTGCTTATCCTAATATTTTGATAAATCCCATCTATCTTTTGTGTATGTTGTCCAACAGATAACATCCTTGCAGAAATAAATTTTCCTGCTTAAGGAGTCTGAGCACTTTGAAAGATGCCTGAAAAAAACAGCCCAGAGAGGGGCAGGACAGGCTGTATCAGGACTAAATCTTCAATATTTCTGCAATGGCCACAGCCCTGCTAGCAAGAGCTTTTCAGTTGTTCTAAAGGTAGGACTACATACCACTGTGCTCAGAAAATTACTTTTTGATAGACACTGGAAAGAAGAGTGGAAGGCCAGGCTGGACATGGCTCTGAGCAGTCTGGTCTAGTGGTTGGTGACTCTGCTCACAGCAGGTAGGTTAAAACTCAATGATCATTGTGGTCCTTTTCAACCCAGGCCATTCTATTATTCTGTGATTCTATGAACTGCATGAAACATGTATATGTTACATTTTTTGATTTATGCATAAAGTGATACATTTCTTGTGCAAATAAATGCACTTTTACAAAAAATAAAAATATGTTTCTTTATACATTCATAAATGAATTTATAAAATCATTCATGTTTTTAATTATCAGTGAAATTTCAGAGTTTTGCTTTCTAGAAAATACAGCAAAGTTGATTTTCAAACGGTTGCCTCCTCAGTTCTGTGCCGCAGGAATTCCTGATCACAGCTCACTATGGGCTTTATAACAGGAGATCCCCATTTACACCATGGCAGTATCATCACACTCACCTGACTCATAACCTGGAGCTCGGATCTCACAGTTTGTGCCGTAGGTGCCAGCCTGGCACAAGCAGAGGCACTCTGTCTCAGAAAGCACAGGCCTGCCATTGTTGGGGCACGGGGCACACTGGCATGGGTCAAACCTGCCTGCATATTCCCCAAGGGCCCTTCTGAGGTTGCGTCGCCTGGTCACGGCACAAGGCATGTTCTTCACCAGATCCACAATGGACGACACCTGGAAAACAGCCATTCAGTTAGCACTTACCTTCAGTTTAACTGTGTGCCATACTTTGCAATGTAGATCCAACCAGGAAAGGTACATTATTTTCTTTATATCTTGCCCAGATGTGTGTGCACATGTAATTCACCTCACAGTCAACGTCATCTGGATTTAAAGGGCAGGAATGCATAGCTGCTGGCTGTTGGGTATTTATCAATATTTTTCTTAACCTTCTCCTACCTCAAAGTCAATTACTACGGGATTGTCCTTGGTCGATTCCAGCCAGTTTATAAAGCTTGTGTTCCCTGGAAAAGCCCCCTTTTTCTCCCAGGCCAGTGCAGCAGCGTACTCTGATCTGCCACCTTTGACCAGTGAGACTGACCGTTCTGCTGACTCCAATATGGAACCTGAAGGGATTTCAGAACAGAAATGTGAGACAAAGGCCTTCAAAGAAAACAACAGTGTCATAAGGAAAACTGTAACACGATAGAAAAGAATATACTGAAATATTATAGAGTTACCCTTAGAAGAAATGAGTCTAAGCTCAGAAAAAAAAATTCCTATTCTGTTTAGTGATGTATCAATTTCCTAAAGAAGGCTGTGTAAGGCTGCTGCCATGGAGATATTCTCAACTACACCAGAGACTTGTGAAATTGTATAGATAAAGCAGGCTTCGCTAGAAGAAGAATGCACTGCAAGGCAGGATCTTTGGTCCCAGTTATAAATGCCTGATTAATTGGACTTGATCACAGAATGACTGCAAAAGCAGTGGAGGTGAGGTTATATCTGTTTTTAGTGATGCAGAACACAATCCTTACCATTCTTTCAGAAATAGTGCCAACCTTCTGTGGTATGAGATGCATTGCTGGGGACTTCATGATGTCTGTTCAAGATGAGGAAGATGGGAGGGGAATATAAGGGTGCATTACATTGCAGAAATCTCTCAGCAGCTCTGAGCAACCTCTAGAAAAGATCATGGAATCACAGGTTTCTCACTTTCGCAAGCCTGGCTCTAGCCATGCTTGTCAGATCCATGACTGCCAGAAAGAGCCACTGACACTGGATCTCAAGTTACAGAACTCGAGAGCAGAGGATGAGAGTTCCTCTACCGTAATTTTGCAAGCAGGAAGATGTTTTTGATGTTTGCTTCATTGAAACAGTGAAAACGTTTCAACCCCAGGCAATACAAGGGGTTGTTCCCCAGGGGTTGGTACTGGGGCCTGTCCTGTTCAACGTCTTTATTGGTGACCTGAGTGGTGCGGTTGATGCGGTGGAAGGAAGGGATGCCATTCAGAGGCACCTCAACAGGCTCTTGCAGCTCAGAAAGCTGGGCTCCATCAGAAGAGGAGTGGCCAGTAGGGACAGGGAGGTGATTGTCCCCCTCTTCTCTGCTCTTGTGAGGCCCCATCTGCAGTGCTGTGTCCAGGTCTGGAGCCCTCCATACAAGAAAGACAGGGAGCTGTTGGAGAGGGTCCAGAGGAGGGCCATGAAGATGATCAGGGGGCTGGAGCACCTCCCCTATGAAGACAGGCTGAGGGAGCTGGTCTTGTTCAGGCTGGAGAAAAGAAGGCTGCAGGGTGACATCATTGCAGCCTTTCAGTACCTAAAGGGAGCCTGCAAACAGGAGGGGAATCAATTCTTTGAAAGGGTAGATAACTGCAGGACAAGGGGAAATGGTTTTAAGTTGAGGGAGGGAAGATTGAGGTTGGATGTCAGGTGGAAGTTCTTTACAGAGAGAGTGGTGAGGTGTTGGAACAGGCTGCCCAGAGAAGTTGTGGATGCCCCGTACCTGGAGGTGTTCAAGGCCAGATTGGATGGGGCCCTGGGCAGCCTGGTCTACTAGTAAATGATCAGTGGCCCTACCTGTGGTGGGAGTGATGGAGCTTGATGATGCTTGAGGTCCCTTCCAACCCTGGCCATTTTGTGATTCTGTGACCTGGACAAGGGGAATGAATCACAGGATCATAGAATGCCCTGGGTTGAAAAGGACCACAATGATCATTGAGTTTCAACCCCCAGCTATGTGCAGGGTCGCCAACCACCAAACCAGGCTTCCCAGAGTCACATCCAGCCTGGCCATGAACACCGCTAGGAATGGGCCATCTACAACCTCCTTGGGCAATCTGCTCCAATGCATCACCATCTCTGAGTGAATAATTTCCTCCTAATATCTAGATCAACCTAGATCTCTCATCTTAGTTTAAAACCATTTCCCCTTGTAATATCACTGTCAACCCATGTAAACAATCCCCCTCCTGTTTACATGCTCCATTCAAGTATTGGAAGGCCACAATGAGGTCTCCCTGGAGCCTTCTCTTCTCCGATCTAAACAAGCCCAGTTCCCTCAACTTTTCTTCATAGGAGAGGTGCTCCACCCCTCTGATCATCTTAGTGGCCCTCCTCTGGACCTGCTCCAAGAGATCCACGTCCTTCCTGTACTGGGGACTCCAGGCCTGGACGCAGTACTCCAGATGGGCCTCAGAAGAGCTGAGTAGAGCGGGACAATCACCTCCCTCTCCCTGCTGGCCACTCCTCTTTCAATGCAGCCCAGAATACAGTTTGGCCTTCCGGGCTGCAAACGCACACTTTTAGCTCATGTCCAGCTTCTTCTCCACAAACCCTCAAGTCCTTCTCCACAGGGCTGCTCTCAAGGAAATCTTCACCCAGTTTGTATAACTACCTGGGATTGCTCTGATCCAAGTGCAATGCCTTGCACTTGGCCTTGTTGAACCTCATTAGGTTCTCAAGGTCCCAATTCTCCAGTTTGTCCAGGTCCTTCTGAATAGCGTCTCTTCCCTTCAGTGCATGGACCACACTGCTCAACTTGGAGTCATCTGCAAACTTGCTGAGGGTGTACTCAATGCCATTGTCTATGACACTGATGAGGATGCTGAGGAGCACTGGTACCAAGACCAACCCCTGAGGGACACCGCTTGTGACCAGCTTCCACCCTGAAACAGAACCATTGATCACAACCCTTTGGCTGTGTCCAGCCAACCTATTCTTAATCCACCATGCAATTCATCCTTCAAATCCACCAATCTCCAATTTAGAGAGAAGGATATAGTGAGGGACCATGTCAAAGGCTTTGCAGAAGTCCAGGAAGATGACATCCGTCACCTTTCCCCTATCTACCTATGTCATTACTCCATCATGGAAGACCACCAGATTCATGAGGAACGACCTGCCCTTGGTGAAGCTGTGCTGACTGTCTCAAATCACCTTGGATCACCTCACTGAGTACAACCTCAGTAGGTTTGCAGACGACACCAAGTTGACAGGAAGTATTGATCTGCCTGGGGGTAAGAAGGCCTTATAGAGAGATCTGGACAGGCTGGATAGTTGGCATGAAGCCAATGGGATGAAGTTCAACAAGACTAAGTGCTGGATCCTGCACTTTGGCCACAGCAACCCCAGGCAATGCTACAGGATTGGGGCAGGGTGGCTGGAAGACTGTGTGGAAGAAATGGACCTGAGGGTGCTGGTCAAAGTTTGGCTGATCATGACCCAGAAGTCAAGAAGGCCAACAACACTTTGGCCATCAGTGCTTCCAGCAGAAGCAGGGAAATGATTTCCCTCTGTACTCAGGCCTAGTGAGGTCACATCTCAAGAACTATGTTCAGTCTTGGGCCCCATACTACAAGAAAGACATTGAAGCTCTGAAGCCTGTTCAGAGAACGGCTACAAATCTGGTGAGGGGTCTGGAGCGCAAGTCTTATAAGGAGAAACAGAAGGAACTGGGATTTTTTTATTCTGGAGGAGGCTCTGGGGAAACCTTATCACTCTCTACAGCCACTTCAAAGGAGGTTGTGGTGTGCTGGGGGTTGGCCTTTTCTCCCACTTATCTAGTGATAGGATTAGAGGGAATAGCTGCAAGTTGTGCTGGGGAGATTCAGGTTATGGATGTTATGGATGTTAGGAAAAAATTTCTCTTCAACTGCAGTTAGCAGTTAGGCTCTAGAATGGGCTGCCCAGGCAGGTGGTGGAGTCACTCTTCCTGAAGGTGTTCAAGAAATGTTTAGATGTTGTTCTAATGGGCATAGGTTAGTGGGAAATGTTGGTAGGAAGTGGATAGTTGGACTGGATAATCTTGAACGTCTTTTCCAATCTTGTTGATGAACACTGGCCTCTCTGTCAGTGTTGGAAGAACACCTTCAGTGTTGGAAGAACTCCTCTAGCCAGGAGGACCTGGTGTGCCTTGTTGAGGATAACTCAGGTTAACTAAAAGGATACAAACCCCGTTATTATCATAGTTACCTTCATGTTTCACAGTCATCTTGTTTGTGACACATTCGGTACTGACTTTCTTCTTCTTTCGGAAAAACACACGCCTTCTTGTTTCTGTTCGAATACACTCCATTGATTCATCCACTGACAGACCTAGAAGTACAAAAGCAGCAGCTGCATCACCATAGATCTGTTACATCACAGGTCTCCCTGCTCACTCATTTCTTTCTGACCTCTTTACTACATTCAAGCTCCTGATCCACCATTGTCTCTACTGCCAGGGTGTGTTCTGCTCCTCATCAAACCGGTTCCATCAGGTGCTGAATAGACTCTCCTAAACTCAGCCTATTCCTGTTTAGGTATTTCTCCTATATCACCTCTTCTGTTGTATCTGATAACCCTTCCTTCTTCTGGAGCACCATGGAGCAGTCCTTTGCTGTTCAAAATCAAAACCCAGTCACCCAAGGTGCTACTCTGCAGAGTGGGTGGGAACAGCAAACCTTCATCTGAGCCCAGGTCATACCAACGGGCTGCTCTGCCTGGAAAAGTAATTACCACCTATTCCTGCAGCACTGTGGACAAAGACCACCAATATTATAGAAGAAGACATTGCTCCTGAAGGTACCCAATTCCCTGGCTACAAAGACCAGTAGAATGCATCATACTTATCTATAGGCCCTGTAGGTACCCTCCCATGCCCATACAAGTTACAGTGGTGACATTAAATATCATTACTATTAACCAAGAATTTCACCTTCTGTAATATTCTGTTTTCATTTTGACAGTCTAGCAGTCATGGATTAAGTTTCAGACTATTTTCTAATCAATATCAGCAGCTCTAAAACAGTAGCCCAGAAGGCAACATATCTCTCAGACCTCAGTCCCACAGTGGCGTATATTGGAAAGCCTTCTTGGTGTCAAAGGATTTGGACTTGAAGGTCCTAAATACTGTCACGAACACAGTGACATTTACCAATTAAAGAAGATCTTCAATTTTTTAAAATAAAGCGTGGAAGTTCCTTCTTGCTTTATATTTGAGCAGTGTGAGTAATTCCTCTGTCTACGCAAATCTAAGAGATTCTTTTTCTGTTAGTTGTTGAGTTTTCTGTATGGTGGAAGACCTAAAAATAGAAAATGGTAAGAAAAATAGTAAACAAATTGCTAAAGATTACATACCTGAGTTCTTGAGTTCCTCGGAACTATACTGGTAAAGAATGTCGTAGGAACCACCCATCCTTCCAGAGGTGTAGTAATGAGTGCCAAAGTCATCAAATATTCTACTGTATAAAGCATAGTTGTATTCCAGGGGCAGCTGGTTTAGAGCTTTTAGAAAGACATCTGAGAGCTGCAAATTTGACTCCTTCATGGTGAAGTTTGCAACAGAGATGACTTTATGGACTCTAATAAAGTTGGAATTCTAGATATAAAATTAAAAAAATAAAATAAAATAAAATAAAATGAAATAACATAATCTTGCTGCTTTCGTGGGTAGTTGATTGCAGAAAACAGAGTGGCCAAGAATATGATCTGAGCTACACTGAAAACCTATTTCCTCTAGTCCATCATGATGCTTTAACCATGATTAAACTCACATAGACTAGCCCTGGAATTTCCAAGCATCCTGTGAGGTTCTCAGGGACAACACTCATTACTGCTTTGCATTGTGGGAGTGTATAGGATTTAAGTGTGAGTTAAGAATTCCTAAGCAGTGGACAAACAGAAAGTAAAATGACTTCTGCTATAGCAAATATACCAGTAATTGATAAGACAGGCAAAAGACTAGGAGGAAAGGCTGAAGCTAGTAAGTATCTGTGAGCTGTTTTATTTATTAATTAATATTGAGTGGGTATTTTGGATACTACCTCATTATTGTGAGGTCTCAAATGTTGTTTATCAGTCTGCTAAAACTAAACTTACAGGAATAAAGTTTTAATTCAGTGTCAGGCTATTAACACACAAGGTCTAGGGCGTGATATGGGTGGAAAAAAAAGCAAGAAGTTCAGAAACTAGAAGCATCACCTCTTACATTCAGAAAACTCATGTTTTTGAGACAGCTAATTTTTTTTGTGCTCACTGTTGAAGGTTGTTAATGAGAGAGTTCAACTAAAAAGAGAAGAGAGAAAAAGAATACTGAATGGAGAAACTGGTAACATGGCAAAAAAAAAAAGTAACAACAAAAAAAAAACCAAACAACAAACCTGAAGCAAAGAGATCAAGAGCAAAAGGGGTGATGGGAAAGAGCACAAAATGAGCAATCTGCAGAAAGAAGAAAATCATTATAAATAAAATTGATACTGATCTATATATAGGTTCTGCTATGGAGTTTTCATACTGATAGGTTGATTCTGCTCCACTTCTGTCTTCAGGTTCATGTGGCATAGAAGTCATAAGACTGCATTAAATATGGAGTTTCTTCAGCCAAGAGTCAGCAACATAACATGTGAGCTGGACCACAGCACTGAGATGTGCACAGCACTCTCCATTTCAGTGCTCTCATTTGCATGCTGGAAGATAAACTAAGGGCACTCAGCTTTCTGCAGCAGTGAGAATAAAAATGGAAGAAATAGGATATATAATATTCCCTGGACTGTACTCTGCTCCTTAAATACCCTGAGGTAATATCATTTCTCAGAAAATGACTACCAGGTGATTTGGGCTCAGTTTTAAGCCGTACCATATCACATTTCAGCTATGATGCACAAAATTACAAGCAACTTTGGCAAACATTAAATTCTAAATGCTCAGGTGGATATGATGCTCCCCCATACCAAAAAATATTTTTTTTCTTGACTTGCACCATGCATTTATATTCTCTAATATTCAAAGCATCTTAAGTGCTTTTCTTACTAGCAATTTCCCTTACAGTTGTCAAACCAAGTGACTTCTTTATTAAATCCCCAAGGCTTGAACAACCTTGGAAACTTTTACTTGAAGAAGAAATTCAGAAAACTGAATTCCAAAGTCTCCAGTTACCCTGGTCACATGTCTAAACATACTGGTAACCCCTGGCAACTGTGGCAATCTTTATCCATGAATACCAGGTATTAATACAAAATGCAATGCTGTAGATTGAGGTGATTATTCCCAAAGATATTCAGTCAAAATCCTGGTCTAAATCAAGTGCAGATACTCAAATAAGGTCAGATATTATATAAAAACTACTTAACTGACAAAACAAAAATCATCCAGACACAAGCTGAGCTGGCCTGATGAAACCAATAGTTTTAATTAATTAGAACATTTCTCACAAAACAGACTCTCACTAGAACGTACTGGTTAATTAAATAATGTTTACTTCCAAGTAATGCAAGCACAGAATCTTGCCTCTCGTCCCCACGGATGGGGATGGCTTCCTATCTTTCAGGCCTCAATTTTTTAATTCAAGCCATCCAACTCAATGAGCTGCAGCCAAGAATATTAGGAGCATGAGCCAATGGGTTGGGTGCAGAAACTTCAGGAGTCCCTTGGTGTCCTTGAATGCCCGGAACACACATGCTGTCAGGCAGTTACCAGTGTGCCAATTCTGAGATAACTTCTCTATCTCAAAGGAAAATGGAGTTTGAAAAAAATTTATGAAATTCAGGAAAAAAAAAAAGAGGCAGAAGAAGAAAATGGTAAATAAAACTAATAACATGTAGCAAAATGAGCAAGATTAATCAACAAGTTTATGATGTAATGGGTAATACAATAATAATTAAATAATATTATTATTAAAAAATAATATTAAAGTTTCTCTTTATGAGTCTTTCCTTATATTTAGTAGAGAAGAGTGACAGCTGGTAACTGGGGCTTCCTTTAAGCCCTGCTGGAACACTATTGAGAGCACTCACATTTATGTAAAAATCCACTGAGTTTCTTTTAACTGATACAAAATGAGGGCAACTAGCTGAGGTGCAAGGTTCTGTAAATCTGCCATTGTCTATAGATACGCAAGATGTATCCCACCCAAAATGCTTGTTTTGATGCAAACAGAAGACCAGAAAGGGGTCATTACTGTCATGAAAATTATTTAAAAATTAGTATACAAGAATATGTACTAAAGAGCCTAAAGATTAGCTTAACAGTAATAATAATAATAATAATAGACAAACAAAAATAAGCATCAGAAACATATTCATATTTCCTCTTAACAATATGGAAAAATTCAAGACCTTTCAAGTCACTTAGGCCCTACAGTGACTCTGTGATGCTCTTGTGAAGCTATTCTGCTTGCAGTTTGAAAATCTGGTCTGAATTTGACCTCCCAGATTGTTAGTTCTCACTCATTGTCAGTGATCTTTTTAAACTACTTTTACTTTGTAAGTGAATATTTTGAATTTATAGATTTGTTTCATATGCATATGTAAGTAGATATCTGCTGTTGTATACACCTATAAAGAAACTGCATACAGGTAGGCACAGGTGAATGCAGAGGCTTCCTGTAACATGGTAAGGAACCTGAAGATCAAAATTAAAAGTCTTGCCATGGACACAGTCAGGAGGAAATAAGCCATCTACAGCCAACAGCAGACCAAGTCATCAGCTTTCTCATGCATGTTTCTGAAATTTTATGACAATAAAGTTCAAAACAAGTTTAAGTCCAATAAAGATTCCTCTAGAAAGTTTCATTGATATTCACATTTCTTTTCATAGTTTGGGACTGGATTTAAACCGTTAAGAAGACACCATTCTATCAAAATAAACTCACCAGTTCTACAGAAGAAAAACTTGATACATATAACTGCATCAGAATGACAGCAAATAAAATTCCAGTAGATGGAACTTAAGCAAAGACTATTGCAGACTAGAAATTGTGGACTACTTAATCAGTCAAGTTACTTAACAATTAAGACAAGCCTGTAAGCTAGTAATAAATCTGTCATGAAAACATTAAAATTATAACAGATGTTTTTGTAGAAGATTTACTATAATTTTATTACAACTCCTCGGTTTCAACAAGCTTTAATTTTGAACAGTTTTATGACCTCTGCCAGGCGTAATCACAGACAAAAGAATAGTTGATCCTTTACTATCATTAAACTCTAGAATAATTATATTTCACAGTATTTGCCTGAATTAGAGAGGCAGAATTTTATGGGAAGTAGCTGTCTGTTCTCAGAAACTTTTCTCTTGGTGTGTTATTTCTGGGATTATTTTTGTGACTCTGTGCAGCTTAACAGAAAGTATGTTGCAACCAGGAACATCCTGTAGAATCAGGAGAGGACATTCTCGTTTTTAATTGTAGTAGTTTTGCAAAATGTAATCCCAATATACCTTGTTAGTGGATAACCTGTGGTAGCTCAGTCCCCCTAAACAAGAAGATGGAAACTCAAAGAAAGGAAGAAATTCATGTCACCATTCAATTACCTTCTCATGTGAGGCTTCAATGGCTTTCTTGAAGGAGGAATATGATGTGATTTGAACTTTTCTTTTCCTTGAGAATAGACCTGGTATGCCAGATCTTCTCTGAGATGAATGAGAGGATGTACTGCTTCCCACGTCACCATCACTCAGAGGCGTTAAATCCTTGTAGAAATCTGATTTTACATCATCCTCTTCATCTATTACCTAGAGATTCAGTAAACCAAAATCAATTTGCCCTAATAACTTGAAAGGGAGCAAAGTATTAAACAATGAATTCTTGGCTTCTTCTGGAATAGACATGTCTAATGCTTGGGAACATAGCAGAAAGCTAAAAAGCTATTGTAGGGTAAGGAGATGGCTATACAGTAGGCAGTTATACAAGGCAAAAAAAAAAAAAAAAAAAAAGCAACCAACAAACAAACAAACAAAAAGTCATGTTCTTCTAGAAATCCCCAGTCCCCTTGCCCTAAAGCTTAAGAACAATTTTCCTTGAATGTTTCAAAATGCTTTACAAAGACTCTCAGACCTGCATATTATGTCCACACTAAAAGTAAGTCTCTATTTGTATTGTATGATGGTGTGTTTTTTACTTTCTGCTTGATTCCCTTCTAGAAGAATGAGCAGGTTTTATTCAGATGGGAGTCAGAGCATACCTGTAGTGTAAGTCACCATATTGCAGAATGGACTAGAAGTAAATGAATAGTAATAGAGAGTGAACCTACCAGTTAACATTGGCAAGACTCAGTTATGCTGTTGCGCCAAGCAGCGATACTAAGGCATCTTGAACGTCTGTTCAGAAGTGACTCATTTCCCATAATTAAGGCAAATCCCTTGCAAGATCTGTGACCTTTAGATTCATTTTTTACCATTTCAGGCTTACTTAATAAGGCTTTATAGGATCTCTGAAGGACTTTGGGCAATGATGTCCACTCCCCTGATCCAGTTCTGTTCTCCAAGTAAACACATGCTTTTGTATTAAAGTGCACTGCAGCTCCAAGCAGAAAGCTGGTTCAGTGACATTTCTATATCAAAAACTACTCTAAATGTTGAAAAATAGAGATGCAAGCTCAGGTGAGAATCACAAGCTCGTAATATTTTTGCAGATGGACATTAGTTATCTCATAGACAACAGAGCTTGAAAAAATTGGGCAAGCCAAGAATTGTTTTCCCTACAGAATATTTCTGTACACAGTACTTCTTCAATGCCATTGACCAAACCAGACAATGTTGGAATTTGCTTTGTTCAGCTGTGCCTTTTAAAGTAAAATCTCACAATATTCATGTTAATAATCAACAGTTCAGTCTCTTCCACTCCTTCAACTTTTGTCATGTCCTGCATCCCTTTTTTCCCAATACGACCATTTGCTTCAAAGGGGGCCTTCCAGGATGTATGCAGCCAGATACTACACCTCAACCATAATATCCCAATTATTTTATAAATATCAGTGTTTAAAAGTCTGAAATATCCTGCCTGAAAATCACATTCCAATATTTGAGGAAAAATAAAAAACAATATCCTTTTTTCTTGGCCTGTCCTGCAAGACTTCTTCCCAGACTTTTAACCTTCTGCCTTGCAGACTCTTTACCTGCCACTTCTTACTGATGGTAGGAAGGGCTGGTCAGGGGACAAGCAGGACTGAGAGGCTGAGACAGCTGATGGAGGAGCTGCTCTCAAAGTTGCAGATGCCTCAATGGGAGGATTGTGCTGGGAGAGCTGTTGGTACTGGAAGGATGCGTCAGTAACGCTAAAACGAGCTTGGGCTTTACCAAGTCACTGGCTGGATTATATTGTGGTTGGGAACAAGAACCTGCATACCAAGTCACAGCAGAGGCATGGCCACAATCATAAGGAAGCAGGAGAGAAGCTGAGATCAATTTGTGTTGATTCTGAGTAAATACTCACTGTGAAAGTGAGAGAAAGGTACAAGTAGAGACACCTAACACCGCTTGGTTTTTTTCCCATTTCTACTCTTCAGCTGAAGCTCTTTCAGGCCTCAGCAGGCTGGGAAATCTTGTCTTCATAAGACTTCTTAAGACTTCAGCATATAACTTCAACATATAACTATGTTTATGAAAATGTTTTATTTTTTTGCTAAAATTTGCTTCTAGAAAGTACCTGAAAGCTGACAGTCTCCAGATTTGCAGGCACACGATACGATTTCCTTGTCTCATTGCGTCTCACTGTTCTGCATTCTCCTCCATTGAACGAGTTGCCAAGGACTTCCCCTCGGCTCTCTCCTGACAGAATGTGAAATCTAATAACACCAACAACAACAAAAGCAATTTCCAGAAATTAAATAGTCTCAGAAAGACATGAGTATGTGTCATTTGTTGTGTACAGTTGCGTCAAAGATGTTTTATGTTTCAATGAGAGGGTGTAAGTGTTAAGGCTATGCTAGTGCTTTGAATGAAATTTCTTCATAAAAATTTCTGATTTACCCTGAATTCACCTGAAAAATTATACAACCAGGCTATAACACCAAGCTCAGCATAAGACTATCTTGGGCAACCACTGACTCGAGAAACACAGTAAAATGGCACTGACAAATAACGTGCTGCTCTCCAGTTCAGCCACAAGTGTTTGTTACCAGAGTGCCCTGAGTTCATTCAGGAACACAGCACTTGGGGCAGGCATGGCTGGTATTGCAAGAGATGTATCAGGCACAACCAAACATCTGTAGAGGAACATCCTCCAAATTTCTGAAATGCTTTGTAATAACTGAGCTGGAATTTGCCAGTAAGTGGTGTTCTGGTTGTGGTGAGGGTGGGCAATGTCCCTCACAGCAGTGCTCCCTGATGGCTCCTGCAGTAGGAGTAGAGCAGAGTAGGACTGCCAGATGCAGTAAGTCCAAGCCTGGCTGTTTAGTTACATTCTTATAACCTCTTACTACTTTTCATTTAAGAGGTCATGTTTTAATGGTTTACTCTCACATGCAAATTTGACAATTGTCTTTTTTTATGTAAGTTGCTGATAAGCAGTGTAATGCCTGTGAAAAAAACAAAGCTGGCTTACCCACTGCCGATTAAATGCACACCTGGGATGCTCTCAAACTTTCTGCTACACACCATCTTTTTCCTCCCACAATGTCTTTCATCAGAGTTGTCCCCACAGTCATTTTCTCCATTGCATTCCAATTTTTTTGCAATACAGCGACCTGGACAGAGAAAAAGCAGCAGCAAGAGGACTTATGCAGTGATTCTTCACATCTCAATGCAAAAAAGAGCAATTTCTTTCTCTAGCAACGGTGTAAGCTTGCAACAGGAATTAACATAGCAAGGCACTTCAAAACATACATTACTTAAATAAAAATATTTGTCTCTTTTCTACCAGTTTGTATTAATTTGAAGGCATGATGACCAAAGTTAAGGTTTAGCAAAAGGAAATTCTGATAAAACTATCAAATCTGATCAGGTATATTTAAAATTAAGCAAGAACTACCAAGACAATGATTTTAAAAAAAATTAATAAAAACAGTGCAAGTTTGATTTCAGACAAACTATAAGGATATGTTTGTACATGTAAAATTTGTGCCAAAAAAAATCTCATTGGAACAGTGCTACTTTCTACCAGCCATAGTGATGCTACCATTCTACAGTACAGATTGCACAACCCTGAATTCCTTTTAACTGAAGAAGAAATGTAAATAGTAAGTTCCCATTAAACATAAAATCCTCAGCTCCCTGCCCCTTTTTCCTAAGGAATACATGGACAACGTGGAATAGAATACATGCATGGAATACACAGGGACAACCTGGAATTTTTTAATTTTTTTTATATGTCTCAAACAGTAGCTATTGTCTACTGAATAATGCTGAAGTTAAGCTATGATGACTATCGTTACCATTTTCACACTGGAATTTATTCTTGCAGTCCATATCCACGATGTTGCAGAGCTTAGCTGGAAAGCACGGTCGGGATTGCACCAGTGGTTCGGTGCAGGCCTGGCCTCCAAACTGGGATGGCCGCAGGAGTTTCCGGACACGAAACTGGGGGCAGAAAAATAAAAACTTGGTGTTCAGTGAATGGGAAATTTTTTTCCTGTTCCTTATCAACTTTGTTGAAATAGAAATACTATGATGGGGCAGGCAATCCCCATCCCATTTGGCTTGGCTCTCTTTCAACAAGGCCTCTTGTCAGAGAATTGAGCAGGAGGGAATATGTATTTCTGAAATTTTCTACTGTTAAATAACCAGGAGTAATATCTCAAGCTCATTTGTTTTTCTTTCCCCAAATCAGAACCCACCTTGCAGAACACTGATTCTGAATGTGCTAGAAAATCATTTCAGTAACGTTTTCCACCCCTGTTCCGGGGGTTGCAGATGAAACTTATCTGCCTTTGACCGAACTGTTCTTTCCCTAAGAAAGAGCAGGAAAAATTTCCCCAACTGACATACATTTCCTCACAGACTTCATTACATCCCTGCCTCTAGAAAGACCTTGAAGTCAAACAATTGAATAGGACCCAAAAAATAAATAAATCTGTAATTGGGTAACTATGATCAGAGGGAACAAAGAGCAACACTTTCAAAAGGCTTTTGACTCAAGACAACCATTTCTTGTACTCTGTTTGGAATCTACAACACACGTTATATTGTTTGTGTGAGCTTTAACCTCTTCATCATTCCCATTCACTGAGAGCTTAACTACAATGGTCTTCACATTTATCTTGAGGGCACATCCTCCATTCTGAAGGCTGTTCATATTTATAAAGGTCAGAAGTAGCGATCTTAATAGTTTGGAGGAAAAATATGTTCAGCTTACAAAACCCCCCCCTTTTTTTTTTCTTTCTTTTTTTTTTTTTTTTTTTTTGAAAGCAGCAAATACTTTGCATGAATATTTAAAGCTAATAAAAATGAGCTAATAAAAATGAGCTTTTACACATGGTCATGTAGGTAGGGAACCTAGAAATTTAACTAGAGGATATGGATTACAAAAATGAGTTTAAAGAGAGCAATAAGAACCTTTCCATCTCTGGCAGTTTATTTGCTGTCTCCCATTGTTTCTCCCCATTGTGCTCTCACTCACCACCCTGGCTGTAAGTAGTTTCCTAGAACTGCTACTTCATGGCCCCCGAACTCCAAAGCATTTTTTGTTCTGCACTGGCATCAAGATAGGTATGTATACATGTAAAGATACACATACACATACCTAACAGGTTTTCTGACAGTGCTGTTCAGATCTGCATTTCAGAAGCTGCACAGGATCTTCAGAAGAGCTTTAGGCTATGTCGGCATGGACACTTAGAATGATCTATGATAAGCCTTGGACTCATCAGCTATGTAACTATCCTCAAAAGCTCCCTAGAACCTTGTGTTTGCCTGGGCTTTTTATGTCAGTCCCACCTGATGCTGTTCTTTCACCTGTTCACTCTCTGCTAGGGTAGGTACATGTAACTCCTAACCCTGCCATCAGGGAATCAGCACAAGCCCAGAGACTCAGCCACAGGAGGATTTTGTCCTACAGATATTAAGCACATCCATCTGGGTTTTGTGTAGACTATTAGGGTTGCAGAAAAGGTGCTAAGGATGTCTCATCAGCAACCTCAGACTGATCCTGACTATGATACTGCATTTCTTAACAGTGCTAGTTATGATTTGCCAATTATCTCTTTTCAGTAGATGACTTGATCCTATTATCTTTCATTTTCAGAACATATAAAATGTCATGCTGTGTGAAAGATTCCTTGACATGCTCCTGTTGAAACAGGAATGCAAACTCTACAGCTTAATTTATCTCTTATGTAGAAAACTCATCTTTAATAATGACAGTGGCACTTTCAAAGCAAGTTCTCATAAATGGATTTGCACTACTAAATTGCCCCTTTCTATTTTGATATACTTATCTTAACTTGTTCCCTCCAGCTCCTACTGTTATAATTTATAACAGTTATAACCTTGTTAACTTAAACTGTCATTTTGCAGAACCAACTTCCTTGAAATCAAATATCTTAAATCAAGAAACTAGACACAATTTCTTGCATTTAACATGCATAATACATTATCTACCTACTTGTTTTTTAATGCATGGGTCACATTCTGACCAAGAGCTGAATTCTCCAAGCTGGCAATTGATAGGACAGGTTTGTTGGTTACATGCACGAGATTCCTGCTTGGTGCACAGCTGGTCACAGAAGTTTTGGTTATAATATTCATCCATTTTTATTTGCCTAAAAAAGGTCACTGAAAGAGTTACACTGGAAAGGAAACAAACTGTAGATTTCTATAACTGTAGGTTAAGGCTCATAATGCTTTAAATCAATAAAAGCTTGAATGGTAGTGGGTAGCTCTGGAGTGATGCTTGAAAATAAAATCTATATACACCTTAAGCCAGGAATGAAATAAGGGATTTCTTGTAAATTTAGAGTATGCTCCTGAACTGCATATGGTTTTGTGCAGTTGTATCTTTAGTTAACTATGACTGCAGAATTATTTGTACAAGAAGCAGCTTTCTGTCAGCTTGCCATGCTGGAACTCATATCTTCCAGAGCACTGCTTGTTGTTGGGCAGAGCTCCCAGCGTGGGCACTGGGCACCAGCTCTGTTCACAAGAGCTGGCTGCTCAATGCTCACTGCTGCCAGGGCCACCCCAGGACCTGGCTCTTCTGACTGTGTGTATGCAGAAATAACAGGTTTGTTTGGAAGCACTGCAATATTCTATACACAACTTTAAACCTTGCAATTAGAACCAAGTCATTTGCTGGACATTACCATTTTTCTTTCTAGATATATTATGGATGCTGAAGCATCAGATATGAAACCTCCTTCCTGAAAGTATTTTTTTTTTTTTCCACATAAAAATTATACCCATAAATGCAGTGAGAAGATTTGTCCCTACCTGTGCCTTGTCTGCGTGCCATAATTGCAGGTTTTTGAACAGCTGGACCATGACCCCCATGGATAATGTTCACAGTAGCACCCTTGGCAGCTCCCAACCACCAGGCTCAGCAGGATCAGCTGTATTAGCACTGCCTTCTCCATAGCAGAGGTGTTTACAGACAGTAAAAGCTCTGGAGGAACTGTAACATTCACAGTTACTGTATCTTAGTGACTAGTCTCTTCTGATCTGCTGCTTCTATAAATCTATTTTGCAATACAAATATTTCATCAAGCAGTGTACCTGGAATGTAGTGATAATGCATGAGAGAATATTAATTAAATATTGTAATGTGGAGGGATGCAAGTCAAAGGCATCTGATCTCTTATTCAGTATTAATCATGACTGCATGTTAATTCTATTTAAGAAACTGTTTAGCAATTTTCTTGAATGCGACAAATAAAGACCTGCTATTACTCTTCATTGTTTCTATGTGTTCTGAAAAACATTTTCTATGAATACAAATGAAAGTATGAATAAGCATTTTTGCTATTGGGCATGTAAAATAATGGAGACTTAACACTATCTGGCTACAAATTCATTTTCCTCCCTTTTTGCCTAACTGCTTTGCTGCAGTGAATCCTTTCTTCAGATCTTCTGTTACTCTTAGTCCTGATGACTGACTGCTGTTTTTTTCGGGAAAAGCATTTATTCACTGAAAAATTGCAAAATATTTTTTCCTTCATGCTATCACTGAACCAGCAACAAACTGTAAAGGCTGGTACAGCAGAATGTAAGCAGAGCGTATAAAACATTCTGTTTTGCCACGAAAGAACAATAAAAAATAGAAAATGTATAAACAGATTATCTCATTTTGAAAATGATTAAATGAAATGTGAAATCACTATTTTATTTTTTAATTACATAGCCCATGCTATTCTGACTTCTATAGCTTGCTGTGAAAAATAATTTTTTGTGGAGTGAAAATATTGCTTGTTCTTTTTAGCAAGAAAGCCAGTTGGTCTTCTCAGTACTGTAGCAGTGAGGGCTCAGTGTGCTTTTTATGCAGCCATTCAGTCAACAAGCTCCTTGAACAGTTAAGTGTAATCAACAGAGTATAATCAAACTGAAGGCAGAGAAGACAGCAATCTTGCCAGTGAACCAAAAGGAGAGCAAATAGTTGATCTTTTTTTCCTTACCTGGGCTCGTGGCTCCTTGTACCAATATTGCTAACTTAGAAGAGCGATGAAGAAGTCCTACAAGGCTCTCTCAATTACTTTGTTCATTCCTCCAGAGTGCTCTCCACAGAAAATACTCTCATTTGGTAGTGAAGTTCCAACCAATCAGTACATCTGAACTGCACCAGCAACTAGACAAATGTAAGTACCTGATAGAGATAAATTTAAGCTTTCGAAGAAAAGATACAAGCAAACAAACAAACAAACAAAAAAAACAACCAAAAAAACCCGAAGCACTTCCCCGCACATCAACCTATATACACTGAAGCCAATAAAAATCTTCCTTATCAACTTACTGTAAGACTCCTGGCTGCCGATTGTCATGACCTCAGCATGGCTTGCTGCAGGCTTTCAAATGAAAGGTTGGAGGTTATATTTGATCTGGTTACTAGTTAATGAGGACAGATTCTGTCTGGTGACAGGAAGGGTCAGCCTTGCACAGCCTCTCTACAGGCAGACCCTCAGCAGCAGGCATTTTCCAGAGAACTGTGCAGGAACATTTCTCCTCACAAACATACACGCCCAATGCAAGAAGATGCACAAACATTTACATTAGGCCACAGTGGCTGGATACACTGCAGGGCTTCTCGCAGTGCCAGGCAGGGGTGCACCACTTCTCTGTTCTGAGGGCAGCTGATGATCTCACTCCTAAACTCTGTTCAAGGAAGGAAACCCAGAACTCTGAAGAGCAGAAGGGAGGGAGCAAAAATCATGATGTTCTCAAGCAAATAAGGAAGATCAAACTCAAACAGATCTTCAATTTAAATGTCATTTCCTGGGGCTCTCCAGTTGCCTGAGATGCAAAGATAGGAAAAACTGTCCATTCTATCCCATTAAATTTGCATATGGTTACCTTGTACCTCCAGGTCTTTGGGTGGTAAACCGCAACACATCTTTCTTTCCCTCCTTTCCCATCAGCTCTCACACATACTGCAGCTACAGCTACAGCTTCTGCTCTCACCTTCGCTGTTGGCAAAGTCTGCAATTTTAAGAGAATAAACTGATACTATTCACTGGACATTTGTTTCCTCAAAATCTTCCTAAACATTGAGAAAAAAACACTTTCATTCCTACATTAAAGATTAAAGTTTAATATCTGGCTGGACTCAGACAAAAATACACTTCATTCAATAATTCACATAGGTATTTTTCCTCTTTAAACTTTTATTAAGCCTACATATCTCTCATGAGAAGGCATGTTGAAGTGCAAGAAAAACGTAGGCACCTTTAAGCACGAAAGGCCATCTGAACAGCCTCAATACTGAACTGTTTTGACATACCCTGTGGCAGTAAGAATAGTGAACCATAAAATATTTATTCTGTCCATCGTTGGATGCTCTGACAAGAAGGGCAGCATTCCCCATGGCACTGTATGGCACAGTGTATGCAGCTAGGTGCCCATCACTAGTCTCTTGGTCAGTGGGAATCCATGGCACCACATCCTTGTTTCCCTCCTTCCCCATTGGTCTGGAGAGGCTGGGGTTGCAGGCAGAGTGTGCTGTGAAGCAGCAGAGACAAACAAATCATACTGGCAGATTTAGGTTTGGTGGAACAAGGTTTGAAAGTGTAAAGTTACAGCTGCCACCTCCTGACGCTTTGCTAAATAAACAGTCATGCATTCCCTCACCTACTTCTGAGGTAGCTCCTTGTTTTTAATTCATAATTAACCATTTTAATGCAAAGGTAGTAGTGAAGGAATAACAGCCCACTATACCTATTTATTTAACCACAGAAGTTCTGCTGCAAGTATTTAAATGCACCAAACTTAACTCTTGGATCTCCACAAAACGAACAGCTTCTTGCCAGCCTATGCAGCATCGCCAAGTTCTGATACAGAAATGAGGTCACAGCTTTCCTTCCTTCATGGAGCCACTGGAGGGGAGATGTGCCTACATTGAGTTTACTGCAGCCAGGCTGTGACACAGCAGCACCCAGCCATGCAACCGCAGCATTTCCTGAGGAGGCAACATGTAGCCTTGGGAACAAGGCTGGAAGAATACAGTGGCACCTGACCCACTAAGCAGCATTCAACCCAGCAGTGAAACAAGCTCTAGCAGTTCTGGGTGCTGTACTAGGCTTCACTGTATTGGCAGAGAAGGACTAGAAACATGCACACATAAAACAAAGAGAAGAAACAGAAAATTTCCTTTGCTGTCTGATTCCAGTTTGCCTTCAGCCCATCTGCTGGTAGGTCTCAGCTTCCTGCAAACGGAAGGAGAATATACTTCCTGATAGAAGAAGAGGACAGAAGCAACAACAAAAGGAACAAAATGAAGCAAGAAGTACCCCTGAGGAACAACTGACTTATGATCAGAAAGGTCATAATGGGATCATAGGATCATCACTCAAAGCATCCAGTAGTTGCCTTCTTTGGTCTCCAGGTGTTTTCCAGGTTCGCAGCCCTGGCAGCTGCACGGCTGTTGGACAGAAGGCACTGCTTGCTGGCTCTGCTCCAGGGGGAGCAGAAGGGGAGGGAAGAAGCTGATCATTGTCATCTGGTTCACTACCTGATCCCAGAAAAGGACTGCTGCCTTATGCCTAAGTGGAGAAACTTGACTGAGTGATGAACCTTTATAAAGTATTTACAATTGAAAGGAAATGGAGAAATGCAAAAGCTTTCTTGGGAGTAACATGTCAATGGCAGAAAAATGAACAGGCTGAAAATAACTTTGTGTGCTTTCAGCAGACTCTTCCCCACAGAAGTCAAATATTTGCAGACTGGTTTATACTTTGGTTCATATAGTTGTCCCTTTATCCTTGTTTCTACCTTTATCCTTGTTCTCTTTTAACTTTCTAGTGCTTCTTTCACATGGCACAAACTCTCTTACAACAGAAACGTCTGTAAATGCTAAACTGGTCTCAGCAAAACAGAACAGCCTCCCATGCTGTCCTCCTCCTTTACCCCCAATCAGGAAACCTGAGATACCACTGGGTACCTGCCTGATTAAAGGCTTTTATGTGTAACTGAAAAGCTCTGTGAAAAATGTGTCATTTAGCAAAACCAGTAAAATGTCTTTCAAACGTTTGTACTGCAGAGTTAATGAAAGTGCCACATGTCTTCAGAAATTCCATAGACCTGCTATCACGAGCCACAAGGGTGGAACTAAACTAACCTTTTCTTACTCTTCCAGATTATTAATGTAAAACAGACTTTAATCTTAGTGATGTAACCCTATCTAACACCAGCCAACTGGCAGTTGGCACAGCTGGTTGAGAAGCCTGTAAATCCATTCCAGGCATTAATGAAATTTTTTTATTTGGTATTTCACAGACATTCTGTTTTGCATTAGATGAAGGAGGAGTTCAGACCTGGAGAAGATTTCCTTGGTAATGCTGTTAAAGGTAACAAAAACATGCTTAATTTATCTTATTTTCACTTCTCGTCAGCTTAGTTCTATGCCAAAATCAAACTTCTACATAAAATTATGACTATTTTTCCTTTCCCATGTACTTCAAAATGAGAAGAAATGCCACGATTCTTTGTTTTGCACAAGCTAAGCTGGTTCACTCTGCTGTTCATCACTCACTCTTCCTTTTTCTCTTCTCTTAATAGAGATGAGAAACTTTCTGCATCTGTCACCAGTACATCCTTATGTCTTCACTGAACTGCTGTCCAGACAAACATGACTCTCTTTTCCACAGACCCCAGCTCAAGGCAGGTGTTTGTCCCCAGCCCTAAGCACATGATGCTGGAGGAGATACCCAATAGGGCCTCCCTGCATGGGTAGAAGCTCTGGACAGATCTTAATACTGGGAACCAAAGCTACAAAACTTGAATTTCCCTATCTAGATGTCTTGCTACTGGGTTTCCTTCCTTGTTGAAAGTTTGCCATGTGGTCATCCATCATCTCTGAAGCACAAAATAGGGAGGAGGAATTATGGGAGCTACCACTGATGTTGTCAGTGAATTTGGCAAGAAAAGATTAAAATAAGGTCAAGAAAGTTTATGGGGCTGTTGGCAGGGTGTGTGCCATGCAAGAAGGTGCACATGAGGCAGAAGCAAGGTTTGAACTATCCTGTTTTACAAGAGGTGGGGCAGACGGGCAGCCAGCAGCAGCAGTGTCCAGAGGGCTGCAGAACACTCCTGACCTACTCAGTATCCCTCTTGCAGCAGTCTTGCCACAGAAGCTACACAGGAATATCCTCTAACATGCGCCTCCTTTCAGCCTTGCAAAAAAAAAGCCCAGGTGATCATCTGCGTGTTCCTGCAGTACAACCCTGCCTTCCATCATCTTCACAGTAATTTTTAATTCTTTAGAAGAAAAACACAAGTCAACAGAAAGTGTGAAATAGGACATATTACCCTGCAGATGTGATGCACTGCAATGTGAGTGCCAGGGTCTTCAAAAGCTGGTAAATATCTGATTCCAATGCTGATAGCATGAGGTGAACCTGCGTTCCCCTTGAAAGCACCCTGAACACACATGATGCATTTGAGATGCAGGCAGATAATTTGTATGCCAAGTTTTGATTTAATTTAAGTCAAAATCCTATATAGCTCTGATACAGTAATAAAATTTTTCTAGCTTGAGCACTGCAAGATATGTCCGCATGGATCTGCAATATGAAGAAGTCTAAATGCAATGTGATTATATGGGCAGAAATGTTCGTGGGCTTTTGTAACAATTGATAGCATAGAAATATGTTTCCGTGCTTACTGTACTGTAAATTGAGTTTCATTTTAAATGAGGCAAAAGAAGGAACTTAACTGTTGGCCTATTATTCCATCAATTTGGTTGGGAAATTCAGAGTGCTTCAGAAGAGCAAGCTACCCTGATTGGAAAGGTAGGAGAGCAGAGAGGAAATATGGCTGAGATTGTGCTAGATTGTGTTATGTATAAATTAGTTACAGTGTGGTTAATTGAAAGTGATTCCTTTTAATCTTCCTTTAACAAATCCTCATCACTTTCACCAAGCATTCCCAGGCAGAACTTTTACCTACCACCATGTTAACTGCAACCTGTCTCTTTCAGCAGAGCTGCAGAGCTGGTTCAGGTCTGGCAGAAGCCATAGGTGCGTTGTTACACTCGTTTAAAGACCAGGCAATGCCTACAGAAAGGCAGTGTGACTGAACACACAGCTGAGCATCTGAAGCAATGAGGTAGCCTGCTCTTCTATCCCTGTCTGAACAACAATAAAATTACCATCTGAACAGTCACATCAGCTCCACAATGCAAGTACATCTGCTCTAGCTTGTGCCCTGGAAGCCAAGAGCTAATTTGCTTAATCATTGTACACTCCAGAATAGAACTAAAGCATTACTGCAAAGCCTTCTCGCTGTGAAAATTTCACCTACAGATAAAGGAAGGAATCACAGCAGAAAACAGGATCCTTCCAGCAGGGCTCAGAAATGCAGCACAAGCTGGCTTAAATAATAACACTCTGCTCCCAGAAGG